ACTATGATATGATGTTTTCAGATCCTCTGGGAAAATTCCCAGTAGAGGAATAGCTGGTTTAAAGGGGATTTCCAGTCCAACTTTTCTAAGGAGTACTAATAGTATTTGGACACGATATCCTGTCTGCATCTTTTACTATGGATAACCACTAAGAAGATAACAATATGCAATGTATTGATTATTGAAACTATCCTAATAATCAGTTTTGAAACTGTCTCATTGCTATTTGTTTCTCAATAAAATAAACAAAATAAAAATAAATCTGGTTCTGAACATTAAAAAAAAAAAAAAAAAAGAAAATCAGAGTAGAAAGATGGGACAACCCCGCCCCACCCGCAACTCAACCAGTACCCGCTTTGTCTCACTTGTTTTCCCTTAGAGATTGTACTTAAACTTTCAGGACCCCACATTTCCCAACTGCAAGAGAAGTCGTAACCTTTATGCTAATGTGGCTGTCTCTGGAAGCCGTGTACAGAGCAGCCTGCGACCTGCAGTCACTGCGCGGCTCACACAGGGCTGAGAAGGGCTGTGTGTGTGTGGCACAGCGGGAGTAAGTCGTAATGCATGAAGTTGAAAGTGTAATTTCTCTCGTGACAAGTCTTCTAAATGGAGCCTTCCAGCTCACTTTGAAAGGCTTCAAACTTGGGTCCTGATTTCCTGGGAATAATTTTTTATAGAACTGTAATAACGTATGATAATGAAAAAGCACTAAGTGCTCACGTTTTAGAAATTGGGTAATGAAACACTCACTTCACACCGACCCTGCTTGTCATTGCCCTCCTACCTGGAATCATTATTTCCAAAATAAGTATTTTATCCCCCAGCTCAATGAGGAGAATGAATGTGCTTTGAATCCATTTTTTTTTTTTTTTCTTTTTCGTCTCCTGAGCGATAGTCCTAAGAATTAATGAGTTGGAATTGTGATGTATCCATGCTGGGTGCTGGTTGCTGGGTGTGACCCACGGGAGTTCCTGATGCTTGGCGCAGGTGCAGAGACTCGAGAAATCGCTGGGGTCTTTGAGCCAGGGAGCCTGGAGCAAAGGGAGGCTTTTTTGTTTATTGCATCTGCAACTTTTAAATTGTATGATTTGAGTTGGAAGGATGTGTCCTTTGACAGCTTATTAGCTGGAAAAATGTCTATTAGAAAAAAGTAATTAGTAGCGATTAGTAATTAGTAGTAATTAGTAGACGGCGTTGATTCAGGACAAAGTATAATATAGAAAAACAAAAAACCAAAAACCAAACCTCCGACCTCATGAAGTTCCCTGGAAAAACACCAGGTGGGGCATTGGTTACTAAATGTTTTTGTAGCAGATCTAGAAAGGGAAAGAACTTGGTGGCTTTTAAGAAGGAAAAATAGTGCTTCGTACAGCGTTGCTCCATCCGCAGTCACTTAGCTTGGAGTGAATGAAGAGCTCAGTTTGGATGAATGGGGAGGATTTGGACGTAAACTTTCCATAGCGGGTAGAATATAAAATACTGCAGGGCTGCCTGAGGTTTGTGTCCTGCAAGACAGCCGCCAAGCCCTGCCAGCGAGCACTGCCCAGCATAGAATTGGGCATGATGGGCATGGCAGGCGCGGGGCTCTGCTGGTGACTGCAGGAGGGGCGGAGGGGTGGGACTGACTGCCGGTGGCCAGCGTGGAGGGAGCTTTGTGAGTCTCTTACCCTGTCGGAGGCTGCTTTACACTCTTGCCTCGTCATTGCTGGCTCTAGCTTCTGCGCTAACTTTTGCTATTCTTCTTTCTGGCTCACGGGTTAAGCCCAGGTGCTTCTGCGTGCTGAGCAGGCATCCTGCCGCTGAGTTATATCCCAAGACCTTTTACAGTTTTATTTGGAGACAGAGTCTTACTACATTCACCTCAAATTTGCATTTCTCCTGCCTCAGCCTGCACAGTAGCTGGTATTACAGGTGTGTATCACCATGCCAAGCTTACCTCCAGCTTTTGGCCATCCTGACTCCAGTGAGAACATCTTCTTCACAACTTCAGGCACAGAGAGAACACCAAAGTGTTTCTAGGAGGAGAGGGAGAAAGAGGAGGAGGGGGTGAGACTCAAAGGTATAGATTATTCTCCTCTTAAAATCTACAGAAGAATAAAAGTGTTCAGGAGAGAGGCGTTAAGAGTGACTTAGACTCAGAGGTACTATAGGAGACCAGGGGACATTGGCTTCACCAGATGGTTTGAGAATGAGACCCCTCACCAGGCTAGCTGTCCTGGGTCTGGAGCCTCCAAGTGTGAGGGGCTCCCTGCTCTGCACCAGGTGGATGAGCTTCTGTCCTGGCCCAAAGGACAAAGGTTTGGCATTTCTGTGGCTTGGGGACTTGGGCTTTATAGCTTGGCCATGGAGGGGTCAGCACAGAACAAATCTCCTGAGTCAGATCAGGCATCTCTGAGTGGGGGGCGCTCACTCGGAGCGTTATCGGTGTTGGAAGTTGCCCAGGTGATGAGGTACAGGACACACATCCCAAGCAGAGGAGTGCATGGGCATAAAGAGCCTCATGCTTGGGGGATCCTGGCAGAGGGGCAGCCTGGGACCAACTGAGGCGAGTCTTTGTGCCAGCCTAAGAAGGCCCCCGACCCTGGGGAGGCTTGGAAGTATTTTCACACATGACTGGCAGTCAGCCCTCTTCTGGAGCCAGGGTGGTCTCTGGGGGCCTTTACTTTGCTCTGAAGAGCTGCCCTTCCGCAAGCAAGTCCAGGCGAGGATCTTCTGGAGCCCTGGGCTCTGACCTCAGGACTTCTGAAGTGGAGGCAGCTGACTGCGAGTTGTGGGTCTCATATGGGTCTGGGGAGGAGGATATTTTCAAGGGCCAAGCTGCAGAGCCCTCCACCCTGGAAATGCCTGCTTTACATGTCTGGCAGTCTTCCTCTGGGACTGCTGGTTCCTGGGGGCCAAGGTGCCCTGCGGCTGAGCTGTGTGCTGCAGAGCATGCAGGAAAGATGCTGCTGATGAAGGCAGAGCTAACCAGACTCTGCCTGCAGCTGTTCCCACGACTTTCCCCCAACCTGATGCCGTAAGTAGCCAAGTGCTGCCCCACTGCCACGCACCCTCCAGATCCCTGTGGAGGTTGTGCTCAGGAGTGAGAACTGCTCCTGAGATAGAGACTTAGGTGTCAGGCCTAGCTGTACATTCTGCGTCCAAGAAGCCTGGATTCCTTTTGAGTTTGAGTAGGTAATGTCACTCCCCTTAGCCGCTCTTCCCTCACCTGGAATCTGGGATAGTACTGGAGCTTGCTTTCAGAGTTGTGTGAATGATTACACACAACGAGCAACGATAAAATACTTAAAAGCCTTTCAGAATAGGTGTGGGTTGCAGAGGGAACCGAGTACAGGAGCTCCCTGAGAGGACAGAGATCACCCCTTTAGTGCTGCGTGAGGCTGGGCAGCTGAGGTGGACAATGGGCTGGGTGCCGGGATTTAATTAGATAATGCATAGAGCCTATGTGCCCTACATGCTGAGTAACTGAGTGGTTGCTAGGCAACATATCCCCCCCCCCTTCTATCTGCCCTCTTCTGTACTGCTTACTTCCTCCTTTGCTATTCTCTTTCCCCTTTCTCCTTCTGTCTTAAGGCCAGGTGTATTGCTCTGACACAGCCACAGCGTGGCAGAACAAGCTCAGATTGTGCATGGTTTTCTGTATTTCAGGAGCCCTAAAGAGGCTGCATTCAACTTTGGAGAGAGCTGACTGAAAGGGGCCCGAGCACTGAAAAAGGCTGTGCAGCGGGAGACCATGGCCCCAAAGTGTGTGCAGCTGGACAGCTCCATTCTGGAGTTTTGTTTGCTTCCTTAAATGAGAGGAGAACAATTTCTCTCTTGAGATGAACAATTAATAAAAAGAAGATAGTGCTATGAAAGGCAGCAGAAAAAAGAGATGAATTAGTAAAGACTTCAGATTTGGCCTCTACTTGAGGAGGTAAATACATGGTGGTTAGAATTTGGTTCCCGGTGGGAGGGGGTATAGGTAGGGTGAATGGGTGGTAGAGCCGGGGAAGCACTGAGCATTTTTGTACAGAGAAGGGCAGAAGCTGGCAGGAAGGTGCAGGGGGACAAGCACTGTATCCCTACAGTTATGTGGGGCCTGCAGGAAGAACACAGTCGTGCTGCAGAGGGTGCTTGGGGTCATGGAGGTTTTCTACACTGATTTGATGGGGGAGGTGCTATAGTAAATGTAGCCAGCTTGAGCTGGGGTGAGTGGATTGTAGAGCCCGGAATGAGCACAAGAAAAAGATGACAGGAGCAGGAGGAAGGCCTGACAGGTGCCGTGGGTGGTGGCCTGTACTAGTGGCTGACTTGCAGTGCTGCCTCAGGCAATGTTAGGGGAGTGGCAGCGCTGTAGAGGTGAGCTCATGGTGTTGTGGTGGGCCAGGGTGGATCAGCTTATAGAAGCGGAGAACAGAGTGAAGACTGCTGGGAGCGGGGCAGAGGAGGAAGTGGGAGATTGTTCAGTGCGAGTAAAGTTTCATGTACACAAAATGAGTGAGTTCTGAGAGCTGTACAACACTGTTGCGCCTGTAGCTCCCAGTACAGTATTGTGCAACGTAAAATACATTAAGAGGATGAATCTCGTGTTAAAGCATTTCAACACACAAGCCAAACAAATGAAAAACATGAGGGCATTTTTGAAGGTGACTGTGGTTATACTATCACAGGTATATGTATACAACCAAAATAATCAAAATGTGCATTGAATATATGCAAACTAGCCCAGTATGGTAGTGGCTATCTGTAATTACAGCGCTCTGGAAGGCCATGGCAGGAGGATTTCAAGTTTAAACCCAATACAGCAACCATTGTTGAATTCCTATTACTTTGTTTAATGAAAATTTTGTATTATT